GTCCAAAGACACCAGAAATGTGCTCTGGCAGAGGTTCCCATGTGTAATGCTGCTATATGTGGTAGCTCTCTGCTTAAAAACAGAATTAGAGAAAATGTCATAATGAATTGTTGGTCACATAATACTGCATCATAACGGAGTACAAGATGAGCCTGGGAAAAGATAAGTGGTGAAATCCAACAGTTTCTAGAACTTATAGGTTAATAAAACTTTTTGGGGATTCTGATTGAGCACATTCTTTTTAGCAGCCTTTTACACTCATGCTCAAAATGCTTTATCTCCATTGTAGATTTTTAGGTGTAGCCTTAGATTGGGGAGAAAAAACTAGAACAATCATAGGGGGCATAATCAGAGGCAGCCTCTAATGGCTCCTCACCAGTGAAGAGCATTTTAAGGTGGCTTCTGACCACTGAACCGATTTTCCTTACCCTGCCAGAGTCATAAAAAAGCATAAAAAGGATACAGTTGTTCTTAAATATCCTTTTAGGTCACCTTTAAGCCCTTTATTACGGCTATAGTATGACAGGCCTTCTATAGGCTGATCTTCCCCGCCCAAACCCTCTCTCTGTCACCCTCTCAATCACATTGAACAGCACCACCATTTTCCCTGTTGCTCATATCCATATTCTTGGCTTTATTTTTTGACTCAGACCTTTCCTTTGATCCAGGCTGTATCTTCCTGTACAACATCTCTAGGAGTGAAATCCCGGTCATGCTGAAATCAATGGCAAAACTCCCATCAACTTCTGTGGGGCCAAGATTTCCCCCCAAGATCAAATCTTTCCTCACTGCCCACACTGCCAAAACTCTTGTCTAAGCCCATATCATCTTGTGCCTTGAATACAGCAGTCTCTCCTCTCTGGCCTCCTACAAGTGTATTCAAAATGCAGCTGCTAAGATAATTTTCCTGGCATGTTGCTGTGATTGTCACCCTGCTTTTTTAACTCTCTCCTTTGGCTTTTTATCTTCCAACATGTCAAGTACAAACTTCTCGTCTGCATTGTCAAAGTTCTTCACATTTTAGCCCCACCATGCCTATCCGTTCTATTACCTTATTGCAGTGGCTGTCAACCTTTCCAGACTACTGTACCCCTTTCAAGAGTCTGATTTGTCTTAAATACCCTAAGTTTCACCTCACTTAAAAACTACTTGCTTACAAAATCAGACATAAAAATACAAAAATGTCAGCACACTGACTGAAAAATTGCTTACTTTCTCCATTTTACAACTATAAAATAAATCAATTGGAATATAAATATTGTACATACATTTCAATGTATAATATATAGAGCAGTATAAATAAATCATTGTATGAAATTTTAGTTTGTTCTGACTTTGGTAGTCCTTTTTATGTAGCCTTTTAGAATACTAGGCAAATATCTAGATCAGTTGACATACCCCCTGAAAGATCTCTGCATACCCTCAGGGAGAATGACTGCCTTAAACTCTACCAACCATGCCAGCCTCAATTGCCTGCTTATGGGCACTTCCCACATACTTTCCCCAATTCAGCCCCTTACAAAGAAGGACAGAACTCCCAGTCCAAATCTGTAAAGCTACCAAGACTTGATCTTCCTTCAAGACCCTCCTTAAATCTCACCTCTTCTGTAATACATACAGAAAACTGCCATCTGGTAACTGCTAAGCAGGTAGTGAGTTGTGTTTACTACAATTCACTACAAATTATATACACAGCTAATCTGTGCTAAAACAATATACTATTTTGACAGGTTTCAGAGTAGCAGCCGTGTTAGTCTGTATCCGCAAAAAGAACAGGAGTACTTGTGGCACCTTAGAGACTAACAAATTTATTAGAGCATATCTTTTCTTTTCCTGCTTGTCCCCACTTACTTGTTCGTTTTATCTACCTGTAATGTCTTGCTTTTTTAAGTTGTAAGCTCTTTGGGACACGGTCTATGACTTATATCCCATATGTTGCTAGAGAACAAAGCCCCCACCTGGTGGTACTGCAATATAAATGATTAATATTAAAAGATCCTCGGGACAGGTGTGAATTTCACCCGAACTACAGGATGTAAGGAATGAATCAGTTAATTGCTGTGATATATCTTGATTTTAATAGGGTTTTTGACAGTCATGCATGACATTCTCAAACTAGGGAAATGGTCTAGATGAAATTACTACAAGGTGGATGCAAAACTGATTGAACAACCTGTGATGTGGTACAGCTCACCACTGCGGCACCCCCTGCTGGCTGTCCTGGGGTTCAGCTCTGCTAGCCAGTGCGCCCTCTTCTAGTGGTGTCTCACCACTGTCACTCCCAGGAACACAGCATCCTCTTCATGACACAGCCCTCCAGCTGTGCTGCACTCTGTGTTCCCCCTTCCTGGGGACCTGCAGTCAGCTGTCCAGCCACTTCCCTCAGCAGCAACTGCAGCTCAATGTCTGGCCACTTCCTCAGTGGCAAGGGGGGGAGGGGAATGGACCCAGGCCCACCCACTACTCTGGGTGCTGGCCCAGGCCCTTCAGCCTGCAAGGCAGCCAGTCCTCCTCCCTCTTCAAGCTCCAGGGAGTGACTGAAGGTATTTTGTCCTGCAGCTCTTCTTATATGGGCCTGCCGGGCCCTGATTGGCTGTTCGTCTCAGCCCTTCTCTGATTGGCTGCCTCCTGCGCAGCCTCCCAAGGGCTCTGTTAACCCCTTGGAGCCCAGTGTGTGGCAGGCGCCCCATCACATACCCTCTCCCTTACGACCGACTGACCTGGTTGGTGGAGGTTACCTCCACTGCTGCCCCCACAGCTGTGCTTGCAGGGTGTCCCTCTGCTGTCTCAACTTCTCCACTAGGAGGAGCAACTTGTCATTCTCCTCCCTGGTGTCCCTAAATTTCCTTATGTGTGCCTCTGCGCTGTCTTGTGCAAGGCCAGCTCAGTGGCTTTCAGCCTCTCCCATAGCCTTGGCCCTTGCACTGCTGGCTATCCCAGTACCCCCTTCTCCCAGGGTCTGAATTCCCAGCTCCCTTCAATTGGTCTCTGTATAAGTCCCCACATCCTGCAGCTGGATGTCTAAGGGACTCTTCCTTCTCTTCTGTTTCTCCTTTCTCTCCTGCTTGGCCCCTTTGGCCTTCTCCACCATCTTGGTGCACCCCCTCTGGGTATCTGGCACCTCCTTCTGTTCCTTTCTATCTCTCTTGCCCTTCTGCTGGCTCGGGTCCCCTTTCTCATCCCCAATTGGGATGCTGCCATTCCCTGGGCTCCTGTTCTGTCTGTGAGGGCACTTCCTCTTCACATGCCCTGATTCCCCACAGGCAAAACAAGCATCCCCCCTTCCTTTTCTCTTCAGAGGTCAGGGACTGGGGGTTTCTCTGCTCTCTTTCCCTTTGGGATAGACTTCTCCTCTTTCCAATAGGGGCACGCTCTCTTGAAGGGTCCCCTCTGCCCACAGGCCTAACACTGCCCTGCTTGGCCTGCTGGCCTGACCCTGGGACCTGGCTTCTTGCCCCAGGCTCTCTGGCCCCTGATCACCTCCTGGAGGGTCTTGAGCAAATAACGCTGCTCTTCCATTAGTTGCCTCAGGCATTCCTGCAAGTATCTCTGTGCCTCCCACTGATGCCGCTAGTTTTCCAGGATCTACCTCACCAGGGCCTGAATCCCTCTTGGTTGCTCTTCAACCCCCTTTATTGGAAGCGGCAACTCTGAAGTCCAGCCTGGGAAGGTACACCTGCCTTCTGCCAAGAAGGTCTCTGTACATGGCAGCTCCATAGTTCCTTTACCCCCGCAAGTATCCCTTAAATAGTCTTTCAAACTCCTCTTCTAACAAGGGCAGCTGTCAAACAGTCTCTGAGTCTCTCACTCAGTGCCCTTCCCTCAGGGGCAACCAAATGCCCACATTCTCCACCATATGTGATGTGGTGTGACTCACCACTGCGGCGCCCCATTCTGGCTGTCCCAGGGATTGGCTCTGCTAGCCAGTGCACCCTCGCGTCTTGCTACTGTCACTTCTGATCCAGGGACCCATGTCACTCCCAGGATTGCAGCATCCTCTTCATGACACAGCCCTCCGGCTGTGCCACACTCTGTGCTCCCCTTTGTGATTTTTAAGACCAGAGTAGATATGTGATGAATGGTCTGGGTATACTTGGTCCTGCCTCAGCATGGGGGATGGACTCGATGATCCTTTGGGGTCCCTTACAGTCCTGCATTTTTATGATTCTGTGATTTCCTACAAAAGATGATGTGGGAGTCTTGGGCTTCAGTCAATACTTTCCAGTAATAACTAGATGGAATAATGCAAATTCACATTTCTTCATTGTTATTTGGAGAGCAAAAATCAAATTGTCATTCAGCTCTTGGTCCCCACACTATGCACCATGGCTCTGTACCTCACTTAGTCAGTTTCACCACAGGTTGTGTTGGAGGAAAGAACAGCTAGAAAGACTCAAGGAGAGAGAAAAATTACCTGGAAAATTGGTCTTTTAGCCATTGTGTGTATTCACTCATCAAAAATACTCAATAGTGGAGATTTTGCTTGAATAAAGAGTGCAGTGTCAGTCTTAACATTCCTGCAAATGCTGCTGTTAACAGAAACTATTTTTTTCCTGAGCCTTTCAACTGTGCTATTCATTTCTTTTTCTATCAGAGAAATAGTCTGTTAAAACAAGTTTCTTAATACCCCACTGTAAGGAGCTGCTGTTTAGTGAGAACAGGCCCGAGAGGTCAGTGGGAACAGTATCATGCTTTATATTACGATTACAAAAGCATCTGGATGGAAAAGAGGATCTATGCATAATGTACCCTTCTGAATAAAATACGCTGAAAATGCATATCAGCCATGATGTTGGTTTAATGTCTTGGTTTGTATATGGGGGAAGCATATTAGGTTAGTAAAATTATGTATTCAGCTCCCATTTCTGTCTTTTGCACCATTTTCACTTTCCTTTTGCAGGTGACCTTGAAAATAATCTCTTCTAAAATATTTCTGTAATTGTAAGCATGGATCTCTGTTGAGAAGTTTCATTAGTTTGACTGTTTTGCTATTCCTACAGGGCTTCAGGAATATGTAGAGGCAGTGTCTTTCCAATATTTCATCAAAACACGATCACTAATTAGTGTTAAGGAGATCAACAAACAGCTAATATTTACAGTGGAAGACAAAGAAGAAGAAACAAACACGGTAAGAATTGTTTTGTTATTCATGAACCAGGCTGAGCCCTTTTCATTGGGAAAAGGGGCCAGTATATTAGCATACCATTTGATAATTCTGGAGGAACTATTCTAAATTTTGTATTGCATATTGCCTATATGATTATATCCAGCAGGCACTCAGATATCATACTGATAGGGGTAGCATAAGAACCTAAATAGAAGAAGCAAATGAATGTAAGGGGTACAGTAACTTCAACTGATTCAGTCCCATTGCTCAACAATGAGCTAATTACAGGAGCCAACAACAGAGAGTGATGAGAAGAAGGGTGTTGTCCTCTGTCACAGTTTTATCAACTTGCAATTTTTTCACTATAACCAGCTAGTATTAAAATACGTGTTCTGTGTCCTAGCAAGGTCACTGATATCTCACTTAGAATTAATCTTGAACTTCCCCCCGCGCAACAGACTTGCTTTCCTTCCTTTCCTATGCCTAATACAGCATCTTCCATTTCTTGCCCTTCCTCTCTCCCCTGCCCATCCCTAAATAGAACATTTTGTATATGGCCAAAATACAGCCTGCCCATCTTTTTTACGCAGCCTTTGGATGAACATTCTATTTTTAAAATTTATATTCGGATGTAAAGTGGATCGATGTGTGGAATGCATAAGGTCACTTTAATTGCTGTTCTAATGAGACATTTTGCAGTCTTTAAAGAGAAAAATCTCAAATGACACTGAATGAAGATGCATGGAGATGTCCACACTGGATGGTCATACCGGTGGTCATCAGCATCAATTATTTAAAAACAAAGAAACAGCTGCAATTCCTCCCCAAAATTTTTGAAAAAAGAATAAAGTCTTAAATAAGCTATGATGCGATATTAGCATTGCCTTCAGAAAGTGACTGAACAGGTTTGTTCGGAGACAAAAGTTAGTCGGTCAAAGGAAATGATCATTATTAGACTATACAAGCTAAACTCTGATGTCTACAGCCAGTTGTGAAACCAGGCTTATAGTATTGTTTTTTTCTTCTGTAACAGGGGTAACAGTGCACACATTTTTCCATGGGCTTGACTTGGTTTAATTTTTGGATGAATGACCAGCTGTTGAGGTCATGAATGAAACTCCAGTAGATACATTCATATCTCTAAGAGCTTCACTATGGGGAGATCGACGCTGCTGCAATCGATGCAGCAGGGGTCAATTTAATGGGTCTAATAGAGACCCACTAAATCAACCGCAGAGCGCTCTCGGGTCAACCCCAGTACTCCAGCTTCCCGAGAAGATTAAGGTAAGTCGACAGGAGAGCATCTCCCGTCGACGTAGCGCAGTGAAGACACCAGGGTAAGTCGACCTAAGCTACATCGACCTCAGCTATGTTATTCACGTAGCTGGAGTAGCGTAACTTAGGTTGACTTATCCCCTAGTGAAGACAAGCCCTAAGAGTGCTCATAGAAATTAAACAGTGTAACAGGTCACTGCATATATGTAGGACAAGAAAAGGTTTTATGAGATCCTGAAAATTAAGGAGTATTGTTGTGTAACTCCCCAGGAAGAGCTCCATAGCAAAGTAATAGGTATGTATTGTGTTACAAATATACTAGTAAAAACGGTCAGTGCCATTCAGAGGTATCCCTTATGCCACTGCTAGTTGAGCAATTGCAGAGAAATTGGAACCACTGTTAGGAGATCCGAAGTACTCTTGTACTGTAATGTCAGCTGGACACAAAGAGATTCAGTGTTGCAGTCAGGTTGTTCAGACTTGAGAAGTAAATCCCTTCCCACTGGCACTGTAGGCATGCTACACTCTTCCTCTAGCTACAGGAAGAGAAACCTCTGCCACCACCTGAGTCTTTGGTTCCCTCTGTGACTGTAGTGCTTGCCATTATGGATCCTCTTGCCCTTGCCTTCCATCTCCAATGTCTGTGTGTGTGTGAGAGAGAGTTTCAGAATGTCTCTCTGTGTTTCCCCCTCTTTTCAGCTCCTCTTTCAAAAGCCACAAAGGAAAAAAGTCTCAGCCATTATGTTACTTTAGTTTCCAGATGAAAGTGTATTTTGCATTTTGCACATACCTTTGCCCACAATTGTTGCTGAAATTTCATGGTGACAGTGATGCTTCAGCAGCCCAAAATGCCAGAAATGTTGGAGAAATTTCCTGGAAAAATGTTTGCCACTTTAACACAACATTACTAAGTCCTAATTGTACTCAGAAGTCTGTGTGTTATGTAAGGTGCAGGTATCTTTATCAATAAATATTCTTTCCCCTGAAAGAAATGCTGTAAATATAATATGAGGTGTCTTTAGATTGCTAGCCTTTTGAGTTGAACACTCAAGCAGGCAGCTGCATAACATTTCCAGGCAGCTGGAATTCAACACTAGGTATAGTATTAAGCAAATGTCTCTAGAGAAAAGCAAACGTCTTGAAGACAGATGTTCAAGGACTGCCTTTACTGAGCAATTTGAAACCATGATGTCCTAACATTTTAATACATTTCAGAATGGTCAGGCTTCAAATACTACCACTAACTGCAACAAGTGTTTTGTCCCATTTGAACTGTTGACAAGGGCGACTGGGAGTTCTACATGGAGGAGCACAGCACCAGTTCTGCTGTTACAGATAACTCATGGAAAATCATTTTATTAGAATAAATTGTGTTGTAAATCATGCTTTTTCATAGTTCTCCTCTTATATTCCTTACTACTAAGGATATTTGCAAGGAAACCAGATCTTTATTTGAGTTCATCTGCTCCTGCTGAAGGCAGAACCCTCTGTGACCTACTCATTTTCACAACAAATTGTGATGTCATAAATACAGGATTTATGACTTCGGGTGGAGAAAAAGTAGCAGCAGCAGATGAACTCTTAAGAATAAAAAATCAGTTTTTCATATACCATGATGTCTTGGGGATATAGAATGTGGGAAGAGATATACAGAAATTATATGATTTAGGAGCAGAATTGTTTCTTGATAAAACAATATTTCAAGTACTCCATGAGGTATTGATTAATTTTAATAAGATTGTAGAGTAATGGATCTGGGGAAAATTCCAGAGAAACACGTCCATTTATTCTTGAGTCCTGCTTTTTATGATAACTATATTTTGAAATACTGGATTGTGTTACAAAATGGTATGATTTATTTTTCCTAACCCTGGCTCTTACATTGACTTCCGCACTAGCATTGGCAGGTCAGTTAGGGCCAATTTTTTAAATCTGGTGGCCTGAGGTCTGTGCACAAAAATGTAAATACAAGTAAACATATATGCAGAGACAAATTTGGTAACGATGTGTACGGATATAGATGGTAGATATAGGGCCTGGATCGCGGTCTTCAGTGTTTAAAAATGTTTAATGCATTTGCCACTGTTTTCTCATCTGTGAAATGTAGAAGATACATACACCTGTAAGGTACAAAAGTAAGGGTTAATGAATTTTATAAAATGCTTTTGAAGCCTAACCTGCTACTATATAGAAATACTATGTAGTTTAATTTTACTGAACGTTTTTTAGTTGTTGTTGGTCTACAGTTATGCCAGTTAAGCCAATGTGTGTTTAAACTGGTGCAAACCACCATTTCTTCACTTTTCAATATTCTATGTTGTGTTTTGTCCTCAGCCCTCCTCCAATCCACATGATGAGCAGCTGTGCACTTGGAGCCTGAAGGTAACACCTGTCGATTACCTGCTGGGTGTGGCTGATCTAACAGGAGAGCTCATGCGGATGTGTATTAACAGTGTTGGAAACGGTGATATAGACACCCCATTTGAACTGAGCCAGTTTTTACGTCAGATTTATGATGGTTTTTCCTATATTGGCAACACTGGACCCTATGAAGTGTCTAAGAAACTATATACCTTGAAGCAGAGTCTGGCCAAAGTAGAGAACGCCTGCTATACATTAAAAGTGAGGGGTTCTGAAATCCCAAAGCACATGTTGGCTGATGTATTCTCCACCAAAGCAGAAATGATTGACCGAGAAGAGGGTCTTTCCTAAAACAGTGAGACAATCATGGCCCTGAAGGGCTGTACAGTTGGAAGCTTGTTAATATTTTGGATTTGTTTTCAGTAGACCCTCATCATGACTTGTATGTAGTGATGTTTTTAGTTTTACTTAGCAGAGCAAGATTATTTGCAAAGGTAACTTGTAACCAAAAAAAACCCTTAACATAATGTGTAAGTGCCCACAGAGGAGAGATTCCAATATTTGTTCAATCTCCTGTTTTCCTCTACTCTATGTGCTGTCATAATGGCTAAATGTCAATGCTACACTCAGTGCTGGTGTCTTTCAGTGAAGTGGACTCACTTCAAACTGCCTGGGCCACTGCATCAGTTTTCAGCGATCACATGATGCTCAGAGCAGGTTGTGAATAATTAAATTTTGTGATTCTGATTTACCCACAATTTCTCTTGGGCCCCACACCTTAATGTAGCCTGTGTCTGTGTACCCTCCGTGTCAGAATAGGGGGTGGCCAAAGGCCTGGAGAAGCAGTAGCCTCATGGTTTAATCAGAGCAAAACAAACCCAGCCTCCTAGCATCTAAACCTACCCTGGTCTTTGATGCATTAGATTATTGGGATCAGAATGTTTTTATAGGCCCATTTCAGCATACTTCTCTGATGCTGGATCTCCACATTGTTTAATTTGTATCTGCTTAATTCAAATGTTTATCTCACTGGAGCTGAAATTGAAACAGAGCCAAAGGTGCTATGTAACCTGTAGTTTGGTCTGACTACTATTTTTGAACGTGAAACTGAAACTAACAGTTTTCTGCTCATTGATAAAACTCATAATACCTGGTTAATATTACTGTATACTGGCCATTTCAGGGCTCACAGCTTTATTTTAGCTCTGCCTTGTTGCCTTACTGTTTTGGCATCATTTGGAAAATCCTTTAAAACATTGAATTTATTGTTTTAAATTTAAAGAATAAAAGCTTTAACTGATGCAGAATCTTAGTTTGCTGAATAGACTCCTTCCTGGACAAGTGCAGAAACGTAGCCAAACAAGTTTATCATGGATTCAGCAGTAGGACAGACTTGTTGCGCAAGGCTGGTTGCATGCTTGTCACCTAAGAGGATACAGGGTTATGACAGTGGGTAGAATTCTGCCCTCCACTATATTTGTGGAACCCCAAGGGACTCCAGTGGAGTTGAACTGGTGTTAGCGAAGAAAGAATTTGGTTCAGTGTGTTAAGTGAGATGTGACTTATTCCTTTGAAATGTGTTGCCTTGTGTATTTTAATACTATTATGAAATAGAAATTGCAATAAAAATAAGGCAGATGTGCAAATTCCCTGCATTTATTTGGCATTCTTGAGCTCATTGGCAGATAATCTGAATTCTCACTTGTGTCCAAAGTTGTGAAAGCCCCTTGAAACTGTATATTATGCTGGGGAGAAACAGCAGATAAAATAATACGCTCTTAAAGAAAAAAAAAAAAGAAAGAAAAAAAAGCTACTCCAGGAAATAGGCCCCTCAAGCACAAATGAAAATACTGCATGTTTTTTATTTCCACTTCCATATGATGTAGTACTGCCAATATTTTTCCCGTTAGCATGGTATGTCCTAGTTAACTGGAGTCATCTGATATATGACCAGAACAGCAGTTACTTACAGTGTTTATCACAGGTTTTCCCATTGTTTCCATGTAAAGAAATATTTGGTGAGTTGAAAAAGCAGTGTTTTTCCAATTGTTTAATACCTTTTAAAGTGCTTTTTTTTAAACAATAAAATCATTAAAAAGCTATTGTGAATGAGTGGTAGTTCGTTTACCTATCAGTCTTATTTGAGAATACTTGACTAGTAATAGTTGAGTGCATTCCATTCTTACAGTTCAGGACTCTATTCAAAGGTCTGACTCATTCCCCATACTGTACTTGTACCTCATGATTGGCATTCACCAATACATGATCTCATCATTGTTTCTCCCCCATTAATTAAAAAATAATAATGCAGCTATGACTGCTCATGGGCCTTCCACGTGCATAATCAAATGTAGAGCTCTTAAAGAAGTTGACAGTCTAATGGCAAGACAAGTTTAGTCCTGGGATGAATAGAGAACAGTACCAAGTGGCTGTGCCTGTTGTACCTACAGCCTGATTTTTCAGGTGTGCTGAGCACCTAGAGCTTCAGTTCAAGCTGGTGAGAGTATGGTACTCTGCATTTTGGGAAGAGGGAACTTACATCTCTCAGAAAACTTGCAGTAAGATGTACTTGTCTGAAGCAAAACCATGAAGAGATAACTGCTAGAGGCACCATGAGATATTAAACAGAAGTCTCTTCTGTTTGTTCTGGCAGCTATCAGGTAGGAGTTAAAAATTCCATGGCTCGTTTTAAACACACAATGAAATGAACCTGGCTGCCCTGGCAGTGTTTCCCTCTTTCGGGAAAACAGATTCTAAAGACCAACCTGCTGCATTTGCCATTGATGAGCACGTAATGGCTACTGTATTTCACAAAACAGCCACTGCACTAGTATTGTCTCTCATTGCTTTTAAAGCACTTTGGAAACCTTTGAATATGAAAGGAGCAATTCTTCTCTTTTCACAGTCTCTTAAGAACAGTTACACATTCTGCCTAATATATATTGGGTTTAACAATTTTGAGATGGGAATAAACTTTCGACGTGGCTACAGAAGATATTTAATTTTTGTAAATGACGTCAGGCATGATTTTTAAGCCTCTTAGGGGCCCTCTGGTCCAGCAAATCAAATCCCTGAGTAATCATTAGTAGGAACAAAGTGTGTGTGGTATATTAAAGCACCATGAGAGATGGGAAATAGCTAATGGTTTGCAAACCTCTTGCTCAAGGAAATATTTCCCCCCAAAAAACAATTGGACTGTAGTTGTTTGAAAGGTGACATTTATCAACAATACAAGCTGCTAAACAAGCAATGGCAGTTTTCCCATTTTTTATCCTATTACTCTGTGGAGCCACTGATATGCTTCGTATTGAGCCAGAACAAGGTGACGTCATAGCAGATGTTTCATGAAGGCTGTCTTGGGTGCTAAAATCATCTGCCTTTTTAAAATCCTCTTTCTCAGAGAAGTGAATTTTCTTTTTGGGTTCACATTTGTACATAAACTACTCATTTGCAATAGGGAAAAGAAACCCATCATATTTTAGCTTTCCTTAACTGCCAGTGAAGTTATGCAAGAGAACAGCTCCCTGTTGACAGAACATGTAATATTATTTCGACTTACTGTCTTGGTTATTTCGGTTTTGCACAAGGTTTACCATAATCACACACATACATTTTAAACTTGGTATCTATACAGTCCCCAAAATGTATATAGTGCCATATGGAATATAGAGCAGATGTGGCCTTGGCTCCAAGCAGTTCACAACCTAAGATTAGACCAAACAGAGCAAGGAAGATGGTAAGTAGAAGGGAGGAGATGGAGAGGAAGGGAAGATGAGGTTTATGTCAAAAGAAAGTGGTTGCTTGGTTTACTGCTTGCCTGATTCTGAAAAGAAGCTTTAAAGTTTTTCAACATTTAAATAATTATAGTCATTGTTCTGTTGTTGGGATGGAGAAGAGAGTCACAAAAGGGGAGAATGAGAAGGTGTTTGTGTGAGGAAAGTGAAGTGGAGTGTAAAGGGAGATGAAGGCAGGAGGGCTGTGGGGGAGAGTAGCCAAGGATGAAGATATCAGGGTGAGGTGCAAAATAAGCTAGATGCATCTGGTGATGTGAGGTGAGACCATGGGAGGGTTGTGCGGGTCAGGAGTGACTTGCAGAAAGTTAGACAAATCATTTGAAATCAGATTTTGTTAAGAAACAGATTTTTAAGGGAATCAATTGAAAAAAAGTGCTGCAAAAAAGGAAAAGGGTGATGTCAAGGCTGAATCCCCACTCTTGTCGCTCCGAGTGCAGAAGGTGGGGGCCCACAAGGATTTTAAAAATTAATACTTGCCACTCCAGTAGGGTGACCAGATGTCCCGATTTTATAGGGACAGTCCGTATTTTTGGTTCTTTTTTTTTATATAGGCTCCTATTACCCCCCACCCCCGTCCTGATTTTTCACATTTGCTGTCTGGTCACTCTACACTCCAGGCTTGTATTAAACTCCCAAGGTTACAGCTTCTCTCTGACCTTGGCTTGGTAAATGCTGTCACCATCCTAATGCAAAAAAACCCTCCTTTGAATCCAGGAAGGAGCACTTGAGAATTCCTCCCTGTGGGGTACCCTCAAGCCCTTTTGCCCCCGCTCCGGGGAAGAGCTGAGAGAAAAAACAAAGGAGATGAGCTGTGGCTATCAGCTAATCAAGCAACATGCACAAACCTCAGGACACCAAAAATCCAATCCTATTCTTAAAAAAAAGTAAATTTTATTAAAACAAAAAGAAAGAAAATACATCTGGAACTTAGGCATTTGCTAGATTTTAAAAGAGCAATTCCAAAAATTAAGCACCCAAACTAGCTTTCTTGGTGGTCAGCTTAAAGGTTACACGCAAACAAAAGTATCGGGTTAGCACAGAGGAGATCCACAAGCCAAAATAAGAAATAAACCTGATAGCGTCTGTCTAAACATTCTATATCCAAAGTATTCCTTCTAGGTATGGAAAATACTTTTTCATACCTGGTTCAAACCTTACACAGCATTTCTGCTTGTAGCATTGCTGCTCCGTGTCGCTGCAACCCAGAGAACAACAGAAAAAGAGAAATTTCTTTTACCATTTTAAAATGTTCTAGTCTTCCCATTGGCTCTTTTGGTCAGGTGCCTACTTTTTTTCTTTACCTGGGGGACTTTTTAACCCTTTACAGATAAAGCAAGTAAAGAACAGCTACCAAGAGGGATTTTACAGCTAACTGGCTAGCTGGGTGTCCATCAAAGGGAGCTCCCCCTCCCCTTTATTTATCACAGGTGATTTCCCCCTCCCCCCATCCTTATGCCTAAAGTTAAGGCTTCTAAATGAAGAGAGCCTGGTTTCACAAGGTGCTGACGTCCTACTGGAGTCAATATGAATTGCACATATGGAGCAGCAACGCTTGCAAGATTATACCTCTGCCAAAAATTAACAAAACTTACTTTTCTGTTTTTATTTACACACACAGCCAGGGGCAGGAAAATGATCCCAATTCACAATTTTTAGTAAGAACAAAGAGAACATTTTACATCCACCTGTATTTTGGCAGCCACAATCTTTGTTGTGAATCACAAGCTTGTTACATACCAAATTAATATGGTTACCGCTGCTGCTGTTTCTCTCTTGTTTCCCCCTTTTCATTTGGCTCCCTCATTCTTTTTCTGACTCTTCCTGTTTCTTAACTTCTTTGTTTCTCAGGCTCTGGCCAGCAGGTGGGAAGGAGCTGCACCATCCTCCTGAGCCATTGGCTACGATGGTCCCATGAGTTAGTCATTTCCATCCTAGCTGACCCCCTTCGTGAAACAGCTCAGTGCAGGAGCATGTCTATTCCAGCTGCCAGAAGCAGAGATCTGTTGGGCTCTGAATGCAGGTTGGTTTTGCTCATGAGAAACGCTGCTGAAACTGGTGGGTCTGGGTGGGCTTCTATTTAGTTCAATGTGGCTGTCTGCATACTCCTATTACAACCACTGTACCATGTGACAGTGGGTGTCTGGATGGGTTGATAGGGCTCACGGTTGCTTCTGTAGACAAGCAGTCCTTGGTTATTTTTAGGTTTGTAATCTTCACAAGCCAAAGTAAAGTTTGGGAAGCAGGGACCATGTTTTTAGTTTAGGAGAGAGTCATTCAGGATCACCATTTTCCACCAGTTTACTTTCTTTTTACCCCACTTAACAAAACTTTTAAAGGGCTGTTTATGGAACCTAGCAGAGGAGGAGTACTGGCCAGTACTGATGTCATGTGTCTTCTCCCAGCTCCTCCCATAGGCTTGCAGGCTGACACTTTGGTGCTATTGTGCCTTGCCTCTGCTGTCTGCAATCTGAACTCTGAGCCCCTGCTATTAGATTTAGATTTCTAAAACCAGCTTCTAATATATTTTTACTGTAATTACCTTCAAGGTAATTATAATTTTATAATCACACTCACCCCTCATTATTTAAATAAAGGGGTTTCTGTCATGTAGGGTCTGGGTCTGCCCTTCATTGCCAAACAAGATCAGACAGCTCAACAAGCCCAATGTCCTATGTTGGCCGCCTTGGCCTTGCTTAGCTTATGACATAGGCACCAACTGTGTGAGTGCTCAAGGGCTCAAGCACCCACCGGAAAAAAAAAGTGGGTGCTCAGCACCCACCAGCCACAGCTGTTTGGCAGCTCTGCCGATCAGCTGTTTGGTGACTTGGGGAGGCACTTGAGGGAGGGCAGGAAGCAGTGAGCGACGGGCGGGGTGGGAACCTTGGGGGAGGGGGCAGAGCAGGGTTGGAAAGAGGTAGAGTGAGGGTAGGACTCGGGGAAGGGGCGGAACGGGGGCAGAGTTGGGGTGGAGCACCCTCAGGGGAAAATAAAAGGCAGCGCTTATGGCTTATGGTATCTGGTTGGACCACGCTCCCATTTGTTCACTTGTCCCACAGCTCTTCGCTTTTCTTGTCACTCTTCCCTGTAGGCATGATACTCCCTCCTAGTGCACAAGGCCACTACCTTTTCCATGTAATCCTTCCTCTAGACCCTAGGATGCCAGAGGACATTGCCAACAGAAATCCAGCTGGGGATAGCTGATAATTTTTAAAACCAAACTAAACTCCTTTGATTGTATGTTGTATCTCATTCACTATTTGTTGATTCAATATTTTAATTATTGACTTAGATAATGGAATGGTGAATAC